TATATATATATATATATATATATATATATATATATATATATATATATATATATATATATAATAATATATATATATATATATATATATATATATATATATATATATATATATATATATATATATATATATATATATATATATATATATATATATATATATATATATATATATATATATATATATATATATATATATAGACGTGTGTGTTTTTGTATGTTGATATGGGATGTGCTCGATTTTGAACAGAAGAGATGTGCCGATTACACAGCTGAATATTTACATACAAATATACGTACAAAGATTAAGACGTACATGCGCACATACTCATATACTCACACACATACGTAGAGACACATGCATCCATTCACAACTATGTGCATACGTACATACTCGTAGAATAGAACCGTTCGAATATGCGCAACGGAGATAGAGATACAAGGACAGCCTTACACTACACTCCCATAAATAGCTGTGTGAAGTTATAGTGCCGTTGCCGTGGTTACAGCCAGAAATGGGCGATCGCCACGAAATAGCTGGGATGTAGTACTAAAGACGCACATACGCAGATGTACCCATATACGTATGTATGTACATGTATGTATATGTATGTATATACATATATATATACAGATGTACCTACATACGTACATACGTATGTTTGTACATGTATGTATATGTGTGTATATACATATATATATCCGAAAAAACAACTGCGAACAGTACTACATGCGTACACAAACAGAAGGACACTACACACACCTACCCACATACATACAACCACACATATACACACGCACACATACACACAACCACACCACATATATACACACATATATATATATACACGCACACATATACACACGCACACATATACACACGCACACATATACACATATACACAGCCACACATACACACAGCCACACCACACATACACACACGCACACATACCCACACGCACACATACACACACACATACACCCACACGTACACGCACACACACACACACACATATACACACACATACGTCCTTTTCGGAGAAGACCTGCAGGTGTAGTGGGAACAGCGTCACCAAGAAGTCCAGCACACCTCTGAGCACGAGTGTGTTGTCGTCCGTCAGCCCCGCCGCCAACGCCGCCGCCAGCAGATGCCTATCCTCGCCCAACACATGCGGCACGCGCAGCACAGACACGTCACCGGCTGTCTGGGCTTTGAGCTTAGCGTTGAGGTATATGACGGTGTACTGTGTGGGAGTGGGGGGGGTGGTCAATGGTGATGGTATGGGTGAGTGTGGTGTGGTGAACTGGTGGTATACGGGTAGGGATGGGTGCCTCGCACAACTGTGACAGACTTGGGTGACAGTGACAGGTGTGGTTAGTACACTACAGATGGCCAGGTGCAGAGGACCGGTCCATGTGTGTGAGACGAGGACAGGTCCGACTTTTGAGTTCATGTCTGAGAGTAGGTCGTAGACGAGGCCAAACAACGACAAACTTTAGAAGACCTTAGCATATGTGTATATACATGCATTGTTATGAAAAGCAGGCACTGGAATACTCACAACCTCAACCCAACCCAACTCAACCCAACCCAACCGCAACAGTCGCACTATGGGCAAATTAACAGCACACCACACACCTGCCGCAGATTGGGAGTGGTCAGAAGACAACTCCACAGAGTGCCGTAGAACAGGGGCGGGTCTATCTTCTTCTCCAGCGCATCCAGAAACTGCATGCACCTGGGCACGAATTCCTGAGGCACAAGCATCAAGCAAAACACGCAGAGGACTACATGAGCAACAAGCAAAACAAGCAGATGACTACATGAGCAACAAGCAACACAAGCAGAGGACTACATGAGCAACAATCAACACAAGCAGAGGACTACATGAGCAACAAGCAACCCAAGCAGAGGACTACATGAGCAACTGTGGCCACCATGCGCATTAATCTTTAGTATAGGAGAAGTGCATGGTAGGTTCCGCTTTGAGTGTCAATGACACGGTAAGTTGTGAGTACTACCCTGCAACGTAGGGGTCACATGGATATAATGTATATATATATATATATGTATATATATGTATATATATGTATATATAGCGGTCAACATATGCTATAGAGACCCTGAATGGGCTATAGAGACACTGGAGAGGCCGTCAACATATACTAGCACAATCTGACACGAGCATAAAGAAACCCGATCGAACCTCAACAGACCACCGCAGGTGTAAATGTAATACTTCCTTACGAACATGCATACGCTATCCATGTCATCAACAAATCAAACACACTCCCACTTGTCCTCTGAAGAAGCAGCCATTCGCAACTTAGCACGTCCGAAACATACACAGCCGCTGTCATCACCAAACAACACACACCTAGGCGTATGTGAAACGCATCACCTTGACAACACACACACGTGCCTAAATGAATACACGAACGTATACAGACAATCAAACAAACAGTACACTACAAGCGTAGCATTGCGGATCGATTCTTTCCCTGACCCTGGTAGCGTCTGTGGGAGCAGATGCATTCATCACACACAGCACAAGACTGTTATCCACGACTGGGCATACAATTCATATGGGCCAAATAGACCTATGAGAACAACAGGTTTTATTTGTACCCAAACAAGACCTATGTAAACAACAGGTTCAAATTTGTACCCAAACATGACCTACTTTAACAACACGTTCATATATGTACCTAGATATACACAACTAGAGAAACGGGGGCGGTACAAATACGACCTCTACCATAGAGACAGGTCCATCCTCCATTACTAAAACTACTCATACGAGGGCACTCCTCCAGTCCTAAAACCACTGCTACGAGGACACTCCCCCCGTTTCAAAACCACTGATAAAAGGACACTCCCTCAGTCCTAAAACCACTGATGCGAGGACACTACTCCAGTTCTAAAACAACTGATACGAGGACACTCCTCTTGTCTTCAAACCACTGATACGAGGACACACCTCCAGTTCTGAAACCACTGATACGTGAACACACCTCCAGTCCTAAAACCACTGCTACGAGGACACACCTCCAATTTTAAAACCACTGATACGAAAACACACCTCCAGTCCTAAA